CTCACCATGTTGCCCAGGCTGGTCTCAAACCTGTGGGCTCAGGCAATCCTCTCGCCTCAGCCTCCCAAAGTGCTGGGATTACAGGCTTGAGCTACCATGCCGGCTGTTAACGTGAAATTTTATGTGAATTATACTTAAAATTAAAAAAATCGAAAATGTCTTAAGAACAGGATTGATGCACTGATACATGCTATAAAACAGATGACCCTTAAAAATATGATGCTAATATTACACTAAGTGAAAGGCTCAGAATAGGGGCAAAGAGGTGGAAAGTAACAGGTAAGGAGAGCAGGGTTCCTTGTGGGAGTGATGACAAGGTTCTAACATCAACTCTGGTGGTGGTTGTACAGCTGTGTGAATATACCCAAAATCATGAATCATACACTTTAAATAAGTGAATTACACAGTATCTGAATTAAACCTCTATATATTCATTTCTAAGAAGAGAGAGAGAGGGGAGAAAGAGAATGAGAAACAGGCCACATGAAACAAAACAAAAATCAACTTACATAATGAATTCATTGGGCTGGCAGACAGTCGTAGCGACTCCTCCCAAAACAATCCAAGGATTTAACACTGTTTGGCCACCCGTTACAGACGTTCCTGCTTCCTCTGCTGCATCTTTGAAACCCTGTATAATCAGGGGCATCACTTTATCCCTTTCCTATGGTTTAAAAAAACACAAATAAAAAGTCAAATAATTACATTCAAAACCCAGAAAAGAGGATTCTACGCTCGTAGTTATAAAAAGGATCATAAAATCCTTGAAGGTGCTGGGTGCAGTGGTTCAAGCCTGTAGTCCCAGCACTTTGGGACGCCAAGGCAGGAGGAGTGCGTGAGCCCAGGCATTCGAGGCACCTAAGCAACTTGGCGAGACCTCGACTCTACAATAAATCAAAAATATTAGCTGGGCATGACAGTATGCGCCTATAGTTCCAGCTACTTACAAGGCTGAGGCAGAAGGATCGCCTGAGCCTAGCAGTAGAGGCAGTGGTGGCTGTGAGCCTGCCACTGCACTCTAGCCTGGGCAACAGAGTGAGACTGACTTAAAAAAAAAAAATCCTTGAAGGTTAACAGGTTGGGCAGGGTGTAACAGAAATCAGGGAATATGGTATATGGCAACCCTTTTATTCAACGCTGGAAAGTGTTCTAGGTAACAGCATAAATGAAACCCAGATAACACTGAGTGTGACCCAGTCCATAGGACTGGCTCCAATGTCTAATGACTGTTAGCAGTCATCAAAAAAGGAGCTATAGCTCAGCACTCTGGAAGGCAGAGGCGAGAGGACTGTCTGAGCCCAAGGGTTCAAGACCAGACCAGGCAACTTGGCGAGACTTCATTTCTACAATAAATCAAAAAATTAGCCAGGTGTGATGACGCACAACTGTAGTTCCAGCGACTTGGGAGGCTGAGGCGAAGGATCACCTGAGCCCAGCAGGTCCAGGCTGTGGTAGCCGCGCTCCTCAGCATCCCGAGACAAGCTTACCACACACAATGACCCTGGCCTGGAGCAAGCTGCCATTCTCCCCAGGAGTGCAAAAACTGGCCGGAGGCACCCACACAGCCCTTGCTGAGTCCGGCACACATGCCAGGGCAGAAAAGGGCCCAATGTAAGACCAGGCAAACAGCTGGGGTTTTTTGGGGGACAAAAACAAATACCTGTCAAATATAATCTAAGTGGGAATTCAACTCTGGTGCAAAGAGCAGGTTTGGGCAGCCAGGACACACAACGCCAGGTGATAACACAGAGGCATGAGCACACGATGGCCCCAGGTCCCATCACTGTCTACACCAGCGACACCCCAGCCACCAGGAGAGAGGGTCCCTGGCCCTCTAAGTGCCGTGTATCCCGGATCTGTAAGGCTGTGCCCGATCTACCGAGGCACTACTACTATGGCTGAAACTTCAGTAAAACGCAAATGCCTTGGCTTCAGTCTTCGGGGAAGAGAGAAAGGGAGCAGGTGGTAGAAATGAGAAGATGAATAGGCCAGACTCTCTCATTTTAATTTACTGATAACTGCCAAAAAGTGGAGCGCCGGAAGGAGCACGGGAAGCCATATGGCCCAGGCTCCTCACTTTCCAGATGGGAAACGAAGGCTAAGCGAGTCCAGAGATGCCACACAGACCAGGAGCAGCTGGGCCTCCTACTTACCCTGTCGGTCATTTTATTACTGACTCCAAGGAGCATCAGCATATTGTCACATTCTGTGACCCCCATTGCGTAGAGGTCACTGAGGACATTGGCACATGCTATCCTGCCCTGGGAAGAGAGGAGACATGTAAGAAAGGACAACTGGACTTTCCATCTGTAGAAACAAAGAGCGAGCCATGGAGAGAGCGGCCTCCAGGGGAACCCAGGGCTTTCCAGGAATGGCAGCTACTGGGGTGTGGGCCTCAGCTTCTCCCATTTGCAGACCAGCTACCTTTCCTCAGTCACGGAACACTAGGCCATTCTCCTTTCCTCACACATTCCTGTTACCATCTCTTCAAAGAATTTTTAAGTTCTTTCCCATTGTGAATAAATATTAGGAGAAGTCTGCAGTTTACTGAGGAGCGGGTGCAGGGGGGTGGGTGATGACAGGAGAAGCGGTTAAAACCCACGGACACCTGGGAAGAGGCGTCGTGGAACAAGAGTCTGAAAACAACCGTCGAAGAGCAGGCATGGGAGCAGCCACTCATACCAGATTCTAGAAAACATCGGTCTTAGCAATTACAGAGGAGGAGGGCTTTGTACATTTGGATTGAGAAATGTTTGCAGCTTCTTTTCGAGGCTATAGGAGATGACAAGGAAAATCATCTTGTTTGAGAAATAAAAAATAAGTAACAAGCATCCAGGGCTGAAGTCATACAGTTTTTTAAAGAAAAAGAAAGCAGTTTCCAGTAAACGATATCATTTTATTAGGAACTTTACGTTACAATTCCACCAAAATGGAGCAGTGAAGACTTTTGAATTGCCACTGAAGATTTTTAAAGTTAAGTTGCCATTATCTAAATCATTACTTTTTAAAGATGTAAAGAGAAAATGACAATTTATTTCTTTTGACTTAAGGATAATCAAACTCCAAAGCATCACCATCTTCGATGCTGTTTAATTGCTTGTTTTTTTTTATGAATTCCCGGTAGGTCAGAACCGCAGCTCAATAACTTTCCATGGACGCACTTCCCACATCACCAAGCCAGGTGACGAGACCGACAGGCAGTGTGCAGCTGGAGGTGCCAATCCTGGTCAGGGTGGCGGTGGTGTCCCGCCCCTTCTGCTCTGGGCACTCTCATTTTAGGAGATGCCCAAACAAGGGTGTGTTCTGGTTCCAGCCATCTCTGCCACCTGGGCAGGTGGGACTTGGGTGTGGCTTAACTGCCCCGTCTCAAGGGTATTGCTCTACAGGAGAGAGCAGATGGACGTGTAGTGGGAACATGGGTTTCCAAGAACCTGTTTACTTGCCACTGGCACCAGAGAGGGGAACAACTCCAGTCTGGCTACCGCACGGCGAAGTCCTGATGTGTACAGCTTGACCCCAGTGTCCTTGTCACACTGGAAGGACACCTGGCATTTTATCACAAATGATATCCTCCCCATCTCTTCACTGGCTGCTCTTGGCTGGTAGGGCAGTGAGGTGAGAGGCTGGGTAGATCAGAGGGTGATCAAAGGTGGATCACTGGCTGCAACCGTGCAATGACCAAGTGGGATATGCCTCTCAACAGCACACGGTGAGCAGCTAGGAACTGCAGCTCAGGGATCAGACTCTTGCTGTGCACAATGGCGGGTGGGTGTGCGGGTGGCTGGGGGCAGTTAACCTGATACTGGAATTAATGTTCAAGAAGTCGAACTGTGAAGAGGCGCTAAGCTCCTCGATTTGTAAGGAAACCGTTAGGCCCAGTCCTACTACAGAGGATAACATCTCTAACCTAACACGCAGGCGTGGTGGTGTGTACAGAAGTCAAAGAAGGAAAGGAACAGGAAAGAAACAAAACTGCTCCTGCAGGCACACCCTGCCAGGCAAGGCTTTACTATGTGCAGACACGTTCTCAGGTGCAACAGCAGCACAGGAGTCCCTGCTTCCACCCCGAGGGCTTTCTGCACTGAGCCACCAGAGCAGGGGACAGGCCAGATGCAGCGACTGTGGGGGCGGGGTAATGAGGATAGGACAGAAACAAAGCCAAGAAGCCCACAGACATGGATACAAAACCCAGCCCCAACCCAGACCAAACAGATAAGCAGTTCCACTATAAATCCACCTCAGGGCACACTTACCATCATGTAAGGGTCGTCGACAATGGGATAAATGTAGTCCGTGGTCTGAACCAAGGAGAGCCCCCCGTGCCTCAGAGGAATGACACAAGTATCCATTCCAATGCCTGTGAAGATGGAAGTCGTCAGCACCCCAAATAAAGGGACAGCCATTTCGCTTTCCACCAGTCGTGCTCCGAGCAGGAAGTGCTCTGTACACACTAAGAAAACTGCATGTGGCCACGAAGCATGTGCTTCCCATAAGACGCGCAACCGAGAGAATGCAGAACATAACCAGCTTAAGACAAAACAGGAATAGACATGTTAGTCATCAAGACGCAACTTCAATACGGTGCCATTATAAAACTGTAATGATGCCTTGGAAAAAAATTCTTTTTTACTGTATTATTTTACTGTATTACCGCCTCATGCGACCAGCACCACATAGATTTTCTTTATGATGAGAAAGCCCAACTGGAACTTGGGTTATTTTATGTTTAGTTCTCTGAGTACATCTTGAGATATTATTCTGTTTTCCCAACAGAAGATTTGTAAAATATTTTACATTAAACATGCTATTATTTTTACATTTTAGTGAAAAATGAAAATCACACACACACATGAAAAAGACAAAGCAAGGTCAGCGACTCCCCACTTCCAATCAAGCACATAATCCATTTGTTTGATAGGTTCCCAAAATCCCTTTTAAAGAGGAAATCTTGAAGTTTCATGTTATTCCCCTAGTGAAAGTATCTAAACTCCATCTTTACTAATAATAGGAACAGGAACTGGCCTTAGGTTTCCCTTCTGTCCATTAAGAAGAAAATTACTAAATAAGTATGAGATAAATACTTCAATTCAGTAAAAACTGTTTTTAAATATTTAGAAAGTGGAACTCGTGGACTAATTAGAAAAATCCCCTTTTCCTAAAGTCAGTTTTGAAGTAGCCACAATCAGCTACCTAGGCTGCACTTAAGACTCACCAGTGATGCAGACATTTCCCACATTCAGACTGACGTTCCCACCCACTAGGCCGAACAGAGGGCTGCCCTACACCCCTGCCTCTTAAAAGGCAATTGTGTCCCTTGGGACGTATGGGGAAGTGGTTCCAGGGCCCCCAGGGGACATCAAAATCCAGGGATGCTCAAGTTCCTACTATGAAATGCTGCAGTATTTGCATATTACCTACACACAACCTCTTGCTTACTTTAAGTCATCTCTAGGTTACTTATAATATCTAGGACAAGGTAAATTATAAATACGTAAATAGTTGTTATACTGTATGGTTTAGGGAATAATGACGTGAAAACAAGTCTGTACATGTCAGATGCAACCATCCATTCTTTTCCCTGAATAATTTCAGTCCGCAGTAGGTTGAATCATGGGTGAGGACCCCTTGGACGTGGAGGGCCAACTGTACTCCCACTTTGCAGTTCAACAACCGAAGACAGGGAAAACACGTGGATTAAGTACAAAGGAAGCAAGCCATGTGCTTGAATCTGCCCTGTAAATTCAGAATTTCAAATGAAACAAGAATAAACAACATCCAAATTACATTAAAAACGACCTTCCATATCTTACATACTGAGAACTGCTGGGAAACCACTACCTTGCAGCAGGCCTAAGGCAGGTCAGGTGAGGACGACACTTCGCCCTTCCAGATGCAAAAATGACATTAAGTTGAATAAAAAGCCAGAGACTGTAAAGACAGACTGATGTTTTACAAAACTAGATGGCAGAGCAGAAACTCTTGGTGGAAGCAGCAGCTAGGGAATGGAGAATTTAATTTCAGAATGGCAGCTCTCACCAATCCGAGGCAATGGAACACAGTGGTCAGTTTTCATTTGTCAGACAAGACTGTGTGCGACAATTCATCTACATAGCCCACGCGCACAGCCCCTCAGAAACTCATCCCACAATATAAGGGATAATACCACATTTTAACTCAATGGATTCTCCCTAAATTGATAATCCCAACAATTGGTTATTCTGAGCACATTACTATTTAGCTTAGAAGACAGTGAAATATAGTTTTCAGTTCCCGTTTAAACTATAAGACTATTGAAAGAGACACTAAAAAACAGTTGCTGAATATTAGCTTTAAATGTTCCTAATTTGAATAATCCTTTCGATTTTTTTTTTTTGAGTCAGGTATCTCTCACCCAGGCTGGAGTGCAGTGGCATGATTACCATGATCACAGCAGCCTTGACCTCCTGGGCTCAGGCAATCTTCCACCTCAGCATCTTGAGTAGCTGAGACGACAGGCATGTGCCGCCATGCTCAGCTAACTTTTTTGAGTTTTTGTAGAGACCAGGTCTCGCTATGTTGTCCAGCCTGGCCTCGAACTCCTGGACTCAAGTAATCCTCCTGCCTCAGAGCTCCCCAAATGCTGTGATTACAGGCATGAGCCACAGCACTCAGTCTTACATTTGATTTAAATATATTTGATTTGTAAAGTACTTTATTTCTAAACCTAGCAGGTTCTTTCATTAGCGTTAACTAGTAACTCTTGAGCCTGTTCCTATGCCTAAAATGCAATATACATGATCCCTAATTTGTCTCATACCCGTGACACCTCCATCTACCAGAACAGGGCCTGGTGCTGTTCAACGCGGTAGCCACTAGCCATGGGGGGTGGCTGAGCGCTTGAAATGTGGCTATTCCAAACCTGGAGGTGCTGTAAGTATGAAACAGACACCAGACTGTCAACAGTACCAAAAACCCCAGCATCTCATCGGTAACATTTTATGTGTTTACAAGGTATTTTTTATACATTGAATTAAATAAAATATATTAGAATCAATTTCACCTGATTCTTTTTTTTTTAAATGTGACTACTAGAACATTTAGAGTCACATATGTGGCTTGCGTTGTATTTCTTTTGGACAGCACTGGTCTACAGTGATCGGTTTAGAAATCAACCACCAAGTCTCAAGGACTGAGAAGTTTATGTGTCACCCTTAGGAGGCAGTGGGGAATTCTTGAAGGTTTTTAATCAAGGCTGATACCCTCCACAAAGAAAAATGAAAAATATCAGCCTGAGCAACATAGCAAGCCTCCGCCTCTGCAAAAAATGCAAAAAATTAGCCAGGCGTGGCAACATGCATCTACAGTCCCAGCTACTAGGGAGGAGGTGGAAGGATAGCCTGAGCCCAGGAGGTTGAGGTTGCAGTGAGGCATGATTGTGCCACAGCACTCCAGCCAAATCAACAGAGTGAGACACTGTCTCAAAATAAAATAAAAAAAAAAAAGAAAAATATCCCAAGTCATTATGCCACGTCACCACCACCAGTAGCAGCAATCAATACTTGACAGCTTTTTATTAATTTTTTTTAAAGAGATAGAGTCTCATTCTGAGCCCCAGGCTGGAATACAGTGGCAGACTGCAGCCACCAACTCTTGGGCTCAAAGGACCCTAGCATCTTGGCCTCCCAAGAAACTAGGACTACAGGCGCATACCACTGGGACTGGCTAATTTTTTAATCTTTTGTAGAGGCAGGGTCTGACTAAGTTGTCCGGGCTGGAGTGCAGTGGTGTGACCACAGCTCACTGTAGCCTCAAACTCCTGGGCTCAAGCCCTTGATAGCTCCTGAGTACCAGGCAACAGATGTATCAGGCTCTAAGACAGTTTTTGTTTTTTTAAACACTTCTTTAGTTAGAATTCATCTAGTAAGTGTGTGTACATTTAAAAGCTGTTTCTGCTCATCCTTCAATTAAAACCATCTTAGAATCCAGGAAATATAATATTTAGTTATAAAAAAATTAAAAGCAGATAAACATACATATGTGTATACATATACATAGGTACACATATACACGCACAGACACACGTGTGTATTATGCATATGGTTACAGGTACACACAGCACACGTACCCAGAAAATTTCTGGTATAACCATCTCAGTAGGTATTATCATCCCATTTTACGGGCTAGGAAACTGAAGCTCAGGATGTGCATAAAATAACATCAGTGGCTAGTAAGTGACTATGCCAGGGGATGTCATAAATAGGAATTATTACTTTAACCACAAGGATTTTTTTCATCTGTTTTTTTTGAGCATTACGTGGCTTATTTTCCCTGACAGTTACCTAAGAGCTTCCTCAGTGTATTCTCATTTCTTGACAAGTCAGCCGACCATCAGCTAGACGAGAGGAACCGCTTGCACACTGAACTCAGGGGAGCCTGGAGCGTAAGTTTTCCTCCTTCCCAACCAAGCGTCTCTGCCTGTATATCCACCTTCTCTATCAGGGAAGAACGGAGCACCCCAGGCTCAACACTAGTGTGGCAAGACAGGACTTACAGCAAAATAACAGGTAAAAATAAGCGAAGTGAAAACCTTACGGAAGAAAGATCAAGTGACACTTAACGGCAGAACAGCCAAACCTTCAAAATACACATCCAACACTCACAAGGCAAGGTGACCATGGTCGCGGTCGTACACTGAATAAAGCACACAATAAACACTAATAAACAATAGCCCAAGAGCCTAGATTTTCTTCCTGAGCCCTGGGTTTGGGAAAAAAGAAACCACTAATGACATCAGGAATTCAGTAAAGGGAAAAACACTGCCCTCAACTCCAGGTGACATCCTGGAGTCAGCACAGATGGCCTCCTCCTGTGTGTGGGCAGTCCAGCCCCTCCCCGCTCCCTTCCCCATGAGTTTCCAAGGACACACACCACAGAGCAGAGAATCCCAATTCCCTCCGGACCTAGCCACTGCTCTCCAAGTACTGCGCACGAAGACTTTCCTAGGGCAAGAAAGGGAATGTGAGCAGTTCAGGATCATTTAGGAAAAGAGCATAAAGGGTTTCTGCCTAATCTTCAGCTAAGCAGAAAATTCAATTTAACTTTTAAAAATGCTTTTACTGCAATATAATTATCTCAACTGCACACTCCGTAGTTTAAAAACCGTTAAGTGTACACGTCTTTTCAAAACTTCCTCCGAGTTACAACATAATATAGTTACCATTGGGTTGCTCTTTGAATCCTTCTTACAAAAAAATTTTTTAAATGAAAAGGGGGCTGGACACAGTGGCTCACACTTGTAATCCCAGTATTTTGAGAGGCTGAGGTGATAGGATTTGAGTTTGAGATCAGCCTGGGCAACATAGCGAGACCTACTCTCAACAACAACAACAAAAAAATTAGCCAGGGTGGTGGCGTGCACCTGTAGTTCCAGCTACTCCAGAGGCTGAGGGGATCATGCCACTGCACTCCAGCCTGGGTGACAGCGTGAGACCCTGACAGAAAGGAAGGAAGGAAGGAAGGAGGGAGACAGAGAGGGAGGGAGGGAGGGAGGGAAGGAAGGAAGGAGGGAAGGAAGGTAGGTACTGCATACACCGTTCTGGTGATGGCTACACTAAAAGCCCAGACTTCACCACTAGATAATATATCCATTAACAAAACTACACTTGTATCCCCCTAGTGTATAAAAATAAAAACAAAAGACAACATGAGAGAAGTCTGGTTTGACTCACTGACCGGACCGCAGGCTCTCAAAGAAACAATGGTGTACATACCAAGCCTTGGCATAACGGCTCCCAGGAACTGCTCATCTTCTTGGAAGTGGTTCTCTTGTAAAGATTCCAGCAATTTCTGCAGGACATCTTGGGGCACTTTGCAGCCTGTGCCCTTCAGTTCAGTGAATCTGGTTAGCCGGAAGCTCTTGTCCAATTCGTAACTTTCGGGGTTAAAGGACTCCCGCGTAGACATGGTTCTGGGGCCCACTCCTCACAGCTCAGCCCCGCCCCTCCCTCTCGGGGTGGCTGGGCTCTTCCTGTACCCACCTAGGGATCAACAAAACCCAGATGGTGAGCATTCCTGAGGGTCCTTGTCAATAATCCAGTGACTACAGGGCAGTGAAAAGCACAAGTGCCCAGGGCTGAAGCCACCAAGAGCACCAACGTGAGACCACCAGTGTTTATCACAGACATCCATGGAATAAGATCTGGCATCTGGAGTGCCGCTGTAACTATGGCAAGAGGGCCAGCAGGTGCACATGACAGCATGCCACCTTGGACGTTAAGTCCCAAAAGCTCTTCTAGGGGATGCCGCGCTGGAACAGTACCACCGAGGGTCACTTCGTCATCAACCAGGAAGCGCTACGGCTTAGAAAGTAGAGCTAAGGTGACCTTCATGGAAAACCTTTTGCTCTCTCATATAGAAAAATGAAACGCCTAATAAAAACCTAGTGGGAAAGGGCATTAATGCAAAAGCCCTGGATGAAATTCCCCGTGATGCTAAATCCCAATTTTAGAAAAACCTGTTTCCTCCTCTAAGCCAGAAGTATACAGTACTACCCAAAACTCATAGGAGGCCTCTCTAAGGCACTCAACTTAAAAACCAGAATGGTGTTTAACACAGCAAGGTTTGTGCTCTTCCAGAGAACGCTTGGAAAGTTCTCGGACGCTGTGCTATTTCCTAGAAAGCAAACATCCCGCCCAACAAACTAGTACACACATCACTGACAAAATACGCTACTGCTCACTACCATTTAATTGCAGAACTAAAAACAATAAGTTAAGCCAAACTAAATCACTATTATTTATGGCGCTGGGTACCGCGGTAAGTTTTTGGAACAAGCCCTTGTAGTTTTTTAGCCTTTGGGGCTAAAGCAAAAACAACATGTGCTCCTAGGGTTTACAAACCTCCAGATTGATACTTTATTGGGCATAGAATTACAGACACCCCAAGTTTTAGGGTCAGTTTCCCCTATAAAATTTATGATTAAGAGCATAATTCCCATTTATAGAGTTTTCCAACCCCTGGGAAGCACATCGCTCATTTAAAACAAATCTCACAAAGCCCGGGTTTGGGCAGAAGTCCAAAGTGTCGTTACAAAAACATGTTTGGGATGAGCAGTGATTTCTCAGTGGGAAACCGACCGGCGGCACAGGAGTCAGTAAACCTCCCGACAAGATTCCAGAAAGAAGCGGCCCAGAAGGAGCAGGCGCAGGAGGCCAGTGGCTGAGATGGGAAGGCTGAAGCCATCTTAGTTAGGGAAGAAGTTTGAATGCCGCTCGGACTTGGAAGGAGTTGGAACAAAAACAACAAAGTCTTTTCCTCACAGCATGCCTTGCCTGGAACACCGCCTCGCCCCTACCAGGAAAAAATAAAACCTTTCCTGCGTCCAGCGACCTCCCTGCGCACCACCCTCAAAATAAGATGGGGAGGAGGCCTTGGGGGGTCTAACTTCCTTTTAAAACGATGATTTCCCACGATCTCTAAAGGGGGAGGGAAAAAATAAGTTGAAGACACCTTGAATCAGGAAGGCGCTCCGCTCGTTTAAAAATTCCAAGTGGCACGAGGGACACAGATCCCAGGCTCGCAGCCCACCCCGTCCTTGAAAAGAACTAAATTCTTACATTTTTGGAGGGAATGGAAGGTGGGGGGGGGGGCGGGGGGGGCGGCCTGGGGGAAATTCAGGGTCAAGGCAAGAAAGAGGGGTCAGTCTGCATCATAAGAGCCGGCCAGCCTCGGACCCGGAG